AGTATAATTAAAATGTTAAGGGATCACATGAATGTTTATAGCGTATTTATTCATAATTGCCACAGAAGGCAACCAAGATGTCCTTCAATACGTGAATGGATAAACTGTGGTACATCCATACAACAGAGTATTATCAAGCCAAGAAAAGACATGGAGGAACCTTAAATGCATATTGCTAAGTGAAAGGAGCCAGTCTGAAAAAAAGCTACATACTGTATAATTCCAACTATACAAAATTTTGGAAAAAGCAAAACTATACAGACAGTGAAAAGATCAGTGGTTGTCTCCCACTAGGATGGCTAAGATTAAAAAATAATAACAAATGTTGGTGAGGATGTGGGAAAAGCGGAACCCTCATCCATTGCTGGTGGGAATGCAAAATCGTACAGTTGTTGTGGAAAACAGTGTGGCAGTTCCTCAAAAAGCTAAAAATAGAACTACCATATGACCCAGCAGTTCCACTCCTAGGTATATACCCAAAAGACTTGAAAGCAGAGACTCAAAAAGAGACTAGTATACCAGTGTTCATTGCAGCACTATTCACAATAGCCAAAAGGTAGAAACAACCTAAACGCCCTTCTACAGAAGAATAGATAAACAAAATGTGGTACATACATACAACGGAATACTACTAAGCCAGCAGAAGAAATGAAGTCTTGATACATGCTACAGTATGGACAGAGCTTGAAGACATTATGCTGAGCAAAATAAGCCAATCACAAAAGGACAAATATTGTATGACCTCACTTATATAATAAAGACAAGAAAAGGCAAATCTACAGAGATCAAAGTCAATTAGTGGTTACCAGGGATAGGAGGGAGGGGTAAAAGAGGGGTTAAAGGTCATGGAAAAATCATATTAAGGGTAGGGTTACACAGCTAATTATTACTGTCTGTAAGCTGTACACCTATGAAAAGTTGAATTAGCAAAATCTCTGTGATAGACATTTACAACAATGACAAAAAAAAAAAAAGCAGCTGCTGAGGTTGCTTATGTACATCTGAACACCTCATGGGATTTGGTTCCTTGGTTGGAGGTTGAGGGTCATGGTTTCATGGGACATCCCAGTTAACTGGCCTAATAACATGTTTAGTGCTTCTGTTCTACCTCCTAGTTCATTGTGTAGTTCCTGGGGTCTTGAAAGTTTGCAAGGCACAACAATTGGTCTCTATTCACCTGGATCAACAGAGGAAGCAGAGTCAGGAATAGGAAGAGGATATGGAATGTGTGGTTAATTGCCTCCATGAACAAATGCCTCCTTTGCCATGAGACCAGAAGAACTGGACGATGCCCAGCTACCATTACTGAACATTTTGATCTAAGATTCCACAGAAGAATCCTGATCAAAAGGGGTGAAATACAGAACGGAAGTTCAAATTCTCATGGACTCTAGACTTTCTGGAACCATGGAAGGTGGATGAACCCCTGAAACTACTGTCCTGAGATAATCTTTAAATCTTAAACCAAAAATATCCCCTGAAGTCATCTTAAAACCAAACGATAGTTTAGCTTAACTAGTAAAAAAGATCTGCCTTGAGCACTATGCTCTTTTAAGATCTATATGGGATCAAATTGAAAATAGCAACTTGAAAGATTAGACGGGAACCTTAGGGAGCAGTGAGTTTATGTTAATAAGGGAGGATCAACTCAGAAAAGGAGGGTGAGAATGGCTGCAAAACTCGAAGAACATCATCAACGTCACTGAATTGTACATGTAGAAACTGTTGAAATGGTGCATCTTTTGCTGTGTATATTCTCAGCAACAACAAAATAAATAAAATTTAGGGGGGAAAAAAAAAGGTCAGTGGTTGCCAGGGGTTGAGGGAGAGCAGGATGAATAGGTGAAGCACAAGGCATTTTTAGGAAAGTGAAACCTATTTTGTATGATACTGCAGTGGTGGACACATGACATTATACATTTGTCAAAATATATAGGGCTGTACAGCACAAATTGTGAACCCTGGTGGTGCAGTGGTTATGAGCTACAGCTGCTAACCAAAAGGTTGGCTGTTTGAATCCACCAGCTGCTCCTTGGAAACCCTATGGGGCAGTTCTACTCTGTCCTATAGGGTCACTATGAGTCGGAATTGACTCAACGTCAATGGGTAATGTAAACTATGGACTTCGGTTAATAATAGTGTATCAATATTGGTTCAACTATAACAAATGTACCGCAGGAATACAAGATGTTAATAATATGAGAAAAGGGGGAGAAGAGTATACGGGAACTCTGTAGTTTTTGCACAATTTTTCTGTAAACCTAAGACTGCTCTAAAAAATAAGGTCTATTAAAAAATGCTAAAGGATCTAGTGGAATGGGTGGACAGCATGCATAAAAAGATGGGGGCAATTTTGGCAGAGAGAGAGAAACTATCTCTCTAAACTATCTTAAAAAAAGTTAACTGACAATGCTAGAAATAAAAAAAAATATGATATCAAGAGATGAATCTCTTTGACAGACTTATCAGCAGACTGAACACAGAACAAGAGAGAATCAGTTAATCTGAAGCAAGTCAACAGAAATTATCCAAACTGAAATGCAAAGAGAAAAAAATGCACCTAAGATTTGTGGGACAGTATCAAATGGTCTAACATAAATGTAACTGGAGTCCAGAATGAGAAGAGTGAGCAGGGCAGAAGAATATTTGATGATATAATGGCCAGGAATTTCCCAGATTAATGAAAGACAACAAACAGATCCAAGATGCTCAGAGAATCCCAAACAGAATAAATACTAAGAAAAACACACCTAGACATATCATAGTCGAACTGCTGAAAATCAAAGATTCACAGAAAATCATGAAAGCCACCAGGAAAAAAAAAAATTACATACAGAGGAACAAAGAAGAATTAAACAGACCTCTCATCAGAAACTTTGCAAGCCAGAAGGCAATGGAGTGAATTCTTTAAAGCTATAGAAAACCTAGACTTCACCACAATGCCATCAGTACACCTGAATTCTTGCTGTTGGTGAAGCTCATCAGGGCTGAAGGAAAAATACGTGACCATGTTATCACTAAGGAAACTTGAGTAAATGAGCAGGCTTCCACCCAAGGTATGCCTCTTGAAGTAATACCATCAATAAATAAGGTTCCCGACCCCCAAAAGGGTTTCCCAGAGCCAGATCAGGTCAGAAACTATATTCTCTAAACCATTTTCAGTGTGGTGGGGTTGGTTACTGCAGTCCCAATCAAGCACCTGGTGTTTCAAAGACACAGAATGAGTGGTGCATATTCAATGACAACAGCCAAACAACAAAGGACAGACTCTATGATGCCATTGATTGTAAGATTAGGAGGCAGTAAGAAAAAAGTGAACAGTCTCCTGATGCAGACAATACAAATCCTGGAGGAGGAGCTGAAGAAGCTGAAGTCATTTCCTATTGCTCATGTTTGAGATGTCGGGTGAGTCCTGCGTAGACGGTAAGCAACGTGTGCCAAGCAATACAGTCTCAAGCAAAGCTTTAGCCCTTTCCGTAACCCCATCATTACCCAAAAGCTTATAATGTAATAATACACAATGAATTTACTACGCACACATGGCTTCAAGACGTGACCCCAACTTGCCTTTTCCATATGGATTTCCACCTCTACTAGGTCCTTCCTATATAAACACTCAGGAACTACAGAATCAGTGACGTCACTATAGGGATATGGGGGCTGCGGATCACACTGGGTGACACTGTCAGAGGGTGACACCAAAATGACTGTCTATAAAATTTTTGTGCAGTGTTTCAGCAGAAATTTATTTTTTATAAAAATATCCCTGCAGTTTGTTACACACACAAAAAAAATTTTAGAAGCCCAGCTTACATGTATCAATACACTTGCAAGGCTAAAACTCTATGCAGATTTACTTTTTGAACCTTCTAATGCACTCCGGTCAGAGCTGTCATTATTACTCAAATACAATGACACTTCGAATCGTGGTTTCATCTGCATATGCTACAAGCACACGCTGTTGTTTTCGTTGCTGCTGGTATTGTTATAGCAGCTGATTTTGTCAAAATTTCTGGTGTTTTAGCTACAGTACTGTGGTAATTAGCATGGGGGGGGCACCAACCCTAGTGATGCCAGTGTACAGAATGTACAGTGTGCAGTGTATGCATAAGGGAGGAGGAACTCAATCTGGAGATTCTACCTGCTCACTCACCCACTTAATATCCTTATGCTAATTGTTTGCCCACATCACAGTTATTAATTCTCCAGCCCCAGAGAAGAAAAGCAATGAGAGACAGACAGAAAGGGCACATGCATATGAGTGTAGGGGGTAAATGTTGGATTTTAACTGGCAAGAGTCCCTGGGCTGTTCAAACAAACCACACACTTTATTAGTGGAAGACAACTAAGAGAGAGGATTTTAAAAAGCCAATGTCAGGCCCTTTATATCTCAGCATCTATTACATTACTGGAATGGCGCTACAAATCAATGCAGAGAATCAAATACTAATAGGAGAGACAGAAGAGGGAAAAAATAACTCTGGTCCCCTCCAGAAGCAGGGGTGACTACAAGGCTTTCTGTTGAGGGTCCATGTCTCTAAAGATAACACAATTCAGTGACTGGAAACCTTCTCACACCTTCTTCTGATCACTCTTTTGTTTCAGAAATTAAAACAGGATAAGCAGCCAGTAATTTTCAATCCTGCCTGTCTACATTCTAATTGCATACAATTATCCCTATATGTACTTGGAACATTTTTTTTTCCATTTTAAATTGTTACAGAGGTTACTAGTATATTTTTGCTTTTATAATTTATTACTGGTGATGTCTATTATTTATTTGATGTCAAGTCTTCGGCCAGGAATGCAACCCAACGACAACACTGTTTTCTATGGGAAAACACTTTACTTTATAAAGAGTACACTGCAGTAAAAAGTAGAGCCCATCCAGGAAACATTAGAAAATACTAGTGCCCTTCAAGCTGTGGTGTGATTCACTGATTTACAGTTAGGCTTTAAAGTATCTGATGCTATTTTTATCTCTCAAATCCAACAAAAAATAAATAATCCAAAAGTACATTTTTATTTGCAGCAAAATTACAAGACAGATGGTACTTTCAAGGTAGGCATTTAATACCTAAAAAATTAAAACTGAACGTTAAATTACATCTGAAGTTTTAAAAATGTATTGAAAAAAATCAAATACAGCATTGCAACTTCCTTAAGATATTTCCTGTATTTTAAAGTGTCAAAAAACCTAAAGATGTTCTTATGCATATACATATGCTGTTTATGTCTCAAAATTTGGAACTATGCAAAGAATTATTCAATATGACTACAAAATGAAATATCTGCACGCTTTAGTGTAGCGCTTAATACTTATTTTTGGATTCTATTGCTGATGCTACTTCTAAAGAGCAATGACTCAACCAGAAAAATAGTACAGTCTGCCTTTTTTTTTTAAAGTGCTTATTAACAACCATCCAAAAGCAATGGTTTTTACAAACACATAATAGTGAAAGACGCTCAAAAAGTCACTACTTACAGAATCGAATGTAATCTTCTAACTCTGCACATGTAAACTGGTTTTATCTGCATTAATGAAAGATTGCTTTCAATGGCCCTCAACTGTATGCTTCAAATCAAGACAGTGCTATTAGTATCAGTAGCATGAACAGTGACAGCAGAACAAATGCCAGCACATTTTAAATGGATCACAGCAGACCAGAAAAACTGTTACCTCTTAACATATCCAAGGATGAGCCTTCTCTTTCACTCTGCATATAAGGTAAACATAAAAAAAAATATAAACACTGTACTCTCTCTCTATAGAGCATTTTACAGTATATGAAGGGATTCAAATTCATGTACCATTTAATCAAACTCTTATTTCTACAAAGAGCAGTCTCCATATGCTCAACATTTGAAATAAAACCTATTTCTACCAAGAAAGCAAGGAGTTAATAAGTCTAATGCTCAACTCCAAAAATCTGAGAAGTAAAACTACGAACAATTCTGAAACTAACCTTATTGCAAAATTTCAAAATAGAATTTATTTCTGACAGAGCAGAGTGAACTATCTGACTTCATTTCAATCACATCAATTTTATCTGATTTAAATAATTTAGGGGAAAAAAAACATCATCTTAATCGAAAAAAAAAGCATCATCTTAATCTAACTGCTTCCTGTATCAGACGCTCATTCTGATTCTTGTCCCCCACATGAACCACTGAATTGTCTTCTAGTGAGATAAGTACCCCGTCAGGTCCATGTCTAGTTTCTGAACCTAAGCTTGATTTACTCCTCCCTTGTCTTCCCTCCAAAAAATCCCTGTATATCCCAAGAGAAAAATCTCCATTTAAAAAATCACAATTAAATACAGTGTGGTAATGCTAAATTTGATTTAAAGTAGTAATAAATTATAAATTGCCAAATAACTTAATGTAATTCACAACGCACATCCCTGGTATAAAAAGAATCCATCTTGCCCTGAATATAACAAAGCAGCCCAGTGATTTCAAATTACTTATGAAATAAAGGAAAAACTAAAGTGTAAAATACTATTTATAAAAGTAAGAAACCAGTTTTCATAAATCTTTTTACAAAGATAAATGTAATGTGCCTGACTGCTTCTAAAAATTATGAGAGAGATTTATAATTAGTGGTTTCAAAAATTACTTTAGTGAAACCAGAGATTGAGTTACATATTATACGTAATTTGTGACACATTAAATATATATATGTAACAATAATACTGTAATGGAGAGTAATTTAAATTAATCTTTGGACCTTTTTGGCAAGTGTGTACTGTCCTTCTCAGTCTTTGCTGTAACTGATTAATTTTTAAATGCTAGTTATCAACAACTTTGCTATCTGAGATACTTTTATCAATAAGGAGATACCAAAAGTCTCAAATGATAATAGTATACCTGTAAAATAAAATAAAGATTGTTCTTGCATCTTGAGTTATTGTAACAAACACACTTTAAAACAGACAACATCGCTATGCCTAGAAATTAAAATAGCTCAACCCTCAAAAAAATAACAGCGTGGAAAGGCAAATAAGAACTGAAAATTCTTATTTAAAAATAAATCTGAAGTCCTTGCATTTCTTAAGAACTTGATGTGTCAAATCACAGTTTATCTTCTTTCTGACCAAGTCGTATCTTCCACCATTCATCTATGCCACACAATGTCAGTTCTCCATTTTGCAGGTTTCAGTTTGAATTTTCATGAATGTTCGCAAAGCTGGTACTGGACTTGAGACGTTTAGCTAGATAAATCAGAAGCATTATACTTTAACTCAAATTTAGTTCTCTAAACATAGTTATTCATTATTTTTATGTAAACTACAGTATTCATTTAATAATTTTACGTTTGAATTGAATAGGGCCAATATTCTAAGAACTAAAACCTATTTTTTTCTCACCAGCACCACCCTCAAAAAACATAACTTGCTAGAAGCTGCACATGACTTTGTTAGAAGCAGTACCAAATAAAACATAACTTAAGACATATCTTCCTAAACATCACAATCTTAATTAGGTAATGTAATGAAAGTATTCTACTTAGAAAATTAAAGTGCTATAAGGTATAATAATAAAATTATATATTTAAAAGTCTAAGTTAGAAATCCAAATCTAAGCCCCTCTAAAAAGAATTCAGTGAAAGAACTCTGTAATGTTAAAAAATACAATGGCTTACAAAGAAAAAATGAACTGTATATTACACACATGTGCACACACATACACAAAAACATATATGGTTGCTAACAGAATATGTTACAATCAATTTTGATCATGATGCTAATGGGACTGAGTCATCAGAGTTAAAAAAAAATGATGGCTATCGGGCTTGGTAATGTTTTTTATTTACAGTTAAACACGACTGTATCTCATGCTCTAGAAATGAAACACAATCACGCTATAGTGAACATCTCTTACACTGGGTAACTAGGAACCTCTCCGCTGCAGAGGTTCTCAACACTGGAGTGGAGGTTCTAATTAGGTCTGCAACGGGACCCAGGTACTTCTACTTTTTTAAAGCTCTGTAGATAATTCTGATATGCAGCCAACGACATGAACCACATTCTAGTTTTTATCAGGGGCTCCCCTGAACACCACTCCAGGTGCAACATGACAACATGATGTCCTGGACCAGTGTATTGCTTTGGCCGAAGGTAGAGTGCAACTCAAACTAAAAAGCAGCCTAAATGGAAGGTCCACTTTTTAGGCCTTCAGTGGGTTTGCGAGGCAAACTAAATCAATTATTTTGTTTAATTTAAAAAATTATATTAAACATATTTTGTTTAAAAGTACTAGAAGTGGTCTAGATTCTCTAATTACCAAAGTACGTAATAAACTGACCAGGTAGCAATGCCAATGAGTACATACACCTGCAACTTCCTTGCCTCTTTGTTCTCTACCTGATATATCCGGACATCCTTCAAAATTCTACCTCAGGGTATTATCTAATGGTTAATTCCAACACACCTAATACAGAGTTAGTCTTCTCTCCTCCATGGTCCAGCCTCTACTACATCTGCTGTAATAACTGGATTACGACTGGTGCATTCTTTGAGAGCATGGGCTGTGCCTTGTCCTTTTTATTATTTTTTTTTAAATCCCTCTTTCCTACTATAGTGCTAGCACTTGGTGGGCATCCAATACTAACTGCTTGATGAATGATGGCATGAAGAAAGGTAAATGAGAGCTAATGTTCACGAGAGGTGTCAGCACAAGAGCTATTTGCTTACACTAGCATTTCCTTAAGTGTATTTCATAAAACACCGCTTCTGTGAAACGTTAACAGGTGTTACGTAAAGAGTAAAGGTTCTACTGTCAAGTTTGGGGACATGCAGTCTTAGAATCTTTAACTTATATTCATGTACATTCTAAAGTTTCACAAAAAGGACGTGGTATGCAGCATTTCATCCATACGCCATATTTTCACAGAGTATTTCACAGAACTTGTATTTTGAGGAACACGTCCTGGGAAATGCTAACATTACGTAGAATGTTCTTTTACTCAACAATTATTTTTGAGCGTCTACTATAGGGCAGGCAGTTTACAGATCCTGGTGACATAGTGGTGAACAAGATAAGTTCCTAGTTCATGGAGTTTACAATCTAGTTAGGGGAGACAAACTATACATAAGAAGGAAATAAATGAAAAAGTTAATTTGAATAGTGATTAAGTGCCATTTTTTAAAAAAGATAAAGAATGAAGGAAAGAGTGTTATTTCTAGATTAGGGGATCAGGAAAGGTCTCTATGAGCAGGTAACCTTTGAGCTGAGACCTGGATGACATGGAGCCAGCCAAGGAAAGTGGGAAGGGCAAGTGCAAGAGCCTTGGAAAGGGGGTGGTGTCAATAAGTGTGGTATTTGAGAGGAACAGAAAGAAGTCCAAACTGGCCACAGCACCATGAACAAGAAGGACAGTGGATGTGATGAGTTTAGAAAGGTAGATGAATGCCAGATCACAAAAAGCTTGGAGAGCGGACCCTGGGAATAAGCTTGGATTTTATTCTAGGTGCAACAGGAATACCTGAAGGGTTTCAGGTGGGAGAGATACATGGTAAAATTTGTTTACCAAATTACTCTAGCTGCTAAGCGAAGAATCGATTGTAGTGGGGCAAGAAATGGAGAGGAAGGAAAGGAATTAATACGTATTGAGCATGTACTATACTTCAACTAAAGTTCTTAGAACTACAATTGTTCATAACAAATTGCCTAGTGTTAGCTGTAGCTTCTTCCTGCCTGCTGCACTTGTAGGTGGTTCTACCACAGCTCCGATGGACCTGAGCGTTGTCCACACCTCCCTGCTACTGCTCTTTCAGGACTGCAAAGCCAGCTGTTGCTATTCCTCTGGTGTCAACATTTTTCCAAGAGTAGTCAGTTTTCCAGATCAAATAATCTGAGAGGTACTATAGTTTGGTTTTTGATCATCTGGACTTACAAACATCTTACATATCTCTTCCCTTAGTAAGCATAATTGTAAAATTGGAAGCAGAGAGCCATTTCAGGCTAATATAGTTCTCAGAGTATATATAATTTCTAAAACAGGCCCAAATTTTTAAAATACAGGCTTCTATCTAAAATAAAGAACACCTGTAAAAAGTAACTTACGTAGAATGAGTTTGCGTTTCTTTTGCTCTGAGTGAAGAAAGCTACTAAGGTAGAAGACAACAGGTAGAAAGAGAATGAACACAGAAACAGCAATTACAGGCACTGTGTCACTGCAGGGGACCGAACAGTTGAAAGTCCGACTCCAAAGTTTTCGAGTAATGTTCATCTGGAACAACAACAGATAATACAGTATTTTGCATTTAACTTGTCTTCAATTTTATACAATTATTCTATTAATAACTTAACAGGCATCCAGAATTTAGACTATAACTTGTTGCCATCAAGTTGATTTCAACAGCTCCATAGGGTTTTGAATGGTTGATTTTTCAGAAGTAGATTACCAGGCCTTTCTTCTGAGGAACTTCTAGGTAGACTTGAACTATCAACCTTTCAGTCAGTAGTCGAGCACCTGATTAACCGTTTGTGTCACCCAGGGACCCATCCCTAAAAATCTATTGTTGGAATTCTCAAGAACTCCAGACTTCCTGAGCCATGGAGGTTGGATGAACCTCTGAAACTACTGCCCTGAGATAAATCTTTAAACCTTTAACCAAAAATATCCCCTGAAGTCTTCTTAAAACCAAACAATAGTTTGGCTTAACTAGTAAAGAATGTCTGCTTTGAGCATTAAGCTCTTTTTAAGAACAATCTATACAGGATTAAATTGACAACAGCAACTCAAAAGATTAAATAGGAACCTTAGGAGGCAGTGAGTTTATGTTAATGGAGGAGGAGCAACTCAATAAAGGAGGGTGAGAATGGTTGTACAACTTGAAGAATGTAATCAATGTCACTAAACGTACATGTAAAAACTGTTGGGGAAAAAAAGCTATTGTTGGTTGAGGACAATTTCTTCTGCGAGGGAAATAAGACAGTTCACAACTAGTCATTGTACAAATTTATATTCATATAGAAATTTCATATTCTAAATTCCTAATACTGTCCAAAGTACTCTAGAATGTCAACCTTTCACAGATTTCCAACAGAGAACTTGTATAAATAGAAACATAGTTAGACCCTGCTTTGTTCACTAAAAAATATCATTGAGACTCTATCAGAAGCCAGGTACTGCTCTAGGCATTTGGAATAGAACAGTAAACAAAACAAAAGATAAAAAATTCCTTTCCTCATGGAGAGCCCATTTTAACTGCTTTTTACCATTCTGAATACTGCTGATCCACTATAGCTGCTATAATTCACATTTATGATTTTCAAACATAATAAATTTATTAATTTTGACCTTGAGTTCTGTACTTTTAGCCAATGATTTCTCAATTTCCTCTTAACACCTAAATCCTCAGGCATCATGTTGCCTTAACAAGGCATGATCGCCATCTAGTGGTGTCCCATGTACAGGCAGGCTATACAATGGAAAAAAAGGCTTTTTTTTTGACCTTTCTATTCAATCAATAGATTTACTAAGGGACTGCTATATGCCAGCCACTGTTCTAAATGCTTGAACAGTAAACAAAAACACTAGGCCCTTGTCTTCATGTGGCTTATATTTTAGTGAGGAGAGACTGCCTATAAATAAGCAAACATTTTCAGAAAATAACAGATGTAAAGAAATAAACAAGCCAATGGGATAGGAAGTGACTGAGGAATGGCTTCAGAAACACTCTAGCAAAACCTAGCGACGGTCTGAATCAAGCAATAAATGTACAAGAAACTGAAGTGTAAACATATAATAACTCCCATTCCTCTGAAAATGGTACATATTATCAAATTTAAAAAACAAACTGTGCCAAATTATCAACTCATTTATGAAGTACCTGATTATTTTCCATTTAAATGTGATACACTAGGATATTGTAAAACTGTATTATCTTACAACTAGCCACTTCTGGTTGGAGTCAGCATAGGCAGATCCCAATGTACCTTCAAAAGGGAAAATAATACTGACAGCACATTCAACAACACTGCAAATATGTATCATATTGGAAGCAAAGTACTTACTGCATCTTCCACATCAATGCATAAATGTGTTCCAGGTTCAGCCTTATTCTCAAGTTCATTCTTTTTCTGCATTTCACTGTACAGACTACTCAGATTTTTGTATGCTTCACGACAGTTTTTGCATACTTCTGAGTAATTTCTTGGCTGTAGAAAACTGTGTGAGCTCTCCTAAAATGAAAAAGGCACATGTAATACACACAATAAATATTATACACACTATGCCTTTAACACTGGATCCTGGTGGCACAGTGGTTAAGAGCTTGGCTGCTACCCAAAGGTCAGCAGTTCGAATCCACCAGCTGCTCCTCGGAAACCCTATGGGGCAGTTCTACTCTGTCCTATAGGATAAGCTATTTGCCCTCCTAGAGGACAGGAAACAATATGGTGATGTCGGGCAAGTTACTAAATCACCCTGAGTCTCAGTTTCATCATCTATAAAACAAAGCTACTTCTACTTGTATTATACAGGTCCCAAGGATTAGAGACCTGAGGTATATAAAGAACATAGCAAAATATTTGGTACTTCCTAGATGCCCGTAAATGTTGAAAACCACTGCACTAGCCAATGTTAACTGCGGACTCTATTAGTTCATATGTCAAATTCCAAACCAAAACCAAACCTGTTGCTGTCGAGTCAATTTCGACTCATAGCAACCCTACAGGACAGAGTAGAACTGCCCCACGGGGTTTCTAAGAAATGGCTGATGGATTCAAATTGCTAACCTTTTGGTTAGCAGCCATAGCTCTTAATCACTGTGCTACCAAAGCTCCTATACGTCAAATTACTGTCTCCTAAATACTAAATTTCATAAACAATCTTGTCATGTACACTATCTGCACTGATACATTCTTCTCTCACCAAATAAATAAAACATGTTCGTTCTTGTGCTCACTTCAACACCAAAGCTTGCCTTATCGAGACAAACAGTACTTTTTTTTAATGGGAAAAGGCATCAAAACTACACCCCCACCCATCCCTCTTACTCTAAGGCTCACAATTTAGGCTTTTTCAGTCAACAAAAACAGACGAATACCAAAGAACCGTATAATATAAAATAAGGGTAGTAGATATAACATATATCATGTTAGTTAATCTACGTCTTTTCTACTTCTAGATGACACTTGTCTTTTCAAGAACAAGTTTGCTCAACAGTCAGTTCATACTTTTGTTTCTATTTCCTCTATGTTTTACCCTGTAGCCTGGAGAAGTGAAATTAACTTAACATTGGAATAAAAGAGAAAAGGGAAAGCTAAAGCAATTAAACTGATGTGGTTCCCACAATGTTACCCTCACCATCTACTTGACAGAACATCTAAGTCTCCCTGCAGTTCTGCCACAAGAAATGGCCTATTGCCTGTTCTCCACAGAACAATCACGCATTTAGCTATATGGGTTCAGTCAAAAATGGAACACAGAGCCTTTATGGGTCTTAACAGGGCAATTCCACTTCTAGGAATCTATCAGATAAACTCATACAAGTACTCCAAGTCATATGAAAAAAGGCTGCCCATGGCAGCAGTCTGTAACAGTAATACTGAACCAAACTAACTCTGCATTAATGTAGGAACTGGCTAAATAAATGGTGGGGTAGCCATACAATAAGGAGCCCTGGTAACACAATGGTTAAGCACAGGGGACTGGTTCCGTGGGACAAAGACCTGATGATCTACTCTGGTAAAGGTTACAGCCTAGGAAACCCTTTGGGGCGGTTCTACTCTGTCACATGGGGTCGCTATGAGTCGACAATCAACTCAAGGGCCCCCAACAACAGCCATATAATAAAACCTCATGGAGCTTTTAAAATGAACAAGGAAGTAGGATTCTGGGAAGATGACATAAGCATATGCTTTGTCTCCTGATTTCTTTACCAAAGAGATTCAACAAAAGAAGGGGAAACCTAGGCACTTGAATAGCACTGTAAAATATAATGACATGCCATGCACATCTCATCACAGGAAGGCTGTACTGCCGCAACCACACCACTTCCCAAAGGAACTATCTAGAACCACAGCCCAAGTCTCTTGCAAACCTCTATCCCCTGCAACACCTACAGTATTCTACAGATGCAGGAGGCTAGAATAACAGCCCCACCCTGCCTGCATAGCCACCCTTTCACCCTGCAAAAAGCAGCCTCTCCACAACCACCAGGAGAGTCCAGGTTCCCAGGGAAGTCACCTGCAAATACTTAACTACCCAAGGGGGACCTTGTCTGGAACTTACATCCATCTCCCTGCCCACTCACTGAGCTGGGTGCTACTGCCACAGCCAGTGGTACCAATTCCATTGCTCCCACTTCCCTATCTCTTTTGCTCTCCTCCCTCTCCTCCATTTCCCCCCACCAAGATACACCTATGAAACTTACCTTGGGGCCTCTTTATCATCTATAATACACTTTTTTTTTTTGAACTCACTTTTATCCAGTTTCATGGCTTTAAATGCCATCTGCAAATGATGACTCCCAAAAACGTATCTCCAGCTCAGACCTCTCCCCTGAGCTCAAATCTCATTGATAACACTGCCTATTTGACATTTCAGCCTGGATATCTAATAGGCATTTCAAAGTCAACATGTTCAAAACGGCATTCTTAATCCCCATTCTCCTACAGCCAGTTCCTCCTCATCTTTCCCATAACACCATCATCCTCTTAGCTACTTAGGGCCAAATGCCTAGAGTATTCCTGATTTCTCTCTTTTCTTCCCTGATAAACCACAATTATTCTCCAGGAATCTATCAGCAAATCCTGTTAAGATAAACTTCCAAAATATACCCTTAATTCAACACTGCGGCTACTACCCAGGCCTAAGCCACTGCCTGCCATGTCTCCCCTATAACCTCCTAACTAGGTTGTTATTACCACTCTCGTCAACCTTCAACTGAGGTTCTCCGCCAAGCAGCCAGAGTGATCTCTTAACATATAAATCATATCATCTTATCACATTCCTGCTTTAATTGGCTTCCCATGTGCTAAAATTCAATCCACACTTCTTCCTTTGGCCGACAAGGCTCTACATGACTTGGCTCTGCCTGTCTCCCTAGACCTCATTCCACACTTGCTTACTATGCTGCAGCCAAACTGGCCTTCCTTCTATTGCTTCCACGTACCAAGCTCTCTCACCTCAAGGCCCTTAACCTTGCTTCTGCTGGCAACACTCTTCCCATGGCTGGCTCTGTCTCAAACTTCAGATCATCTTGAAAGTCACCACTTCAGAGAGGTCCTCCCAGCCCACTCTATCTAAAGTAGTACACTACCCCCTTCCCAGGACTCATTACTCTTAATTATCTTATTTATTTGTTATTAGTTTCATCCTTACTAGTACATAAGTTCATGAGAACAGGAATCTTATTCATACAATGCAAATACTGTTAACCACTCTATCCTCAGTGCCCAGAACACTATCTGGCACATAACCGGTGCCCAATAAATATTCGTTAGATGAATAAGTAAACAAACACTGCCTGTTGAGGGAGCTTTCAACAGCCACGCTACAGAAACCAAACACCAAATAGAGGCATTTCTTAGACTTCTTCCAGCCCTCCTAGCCTGGTAAAACCACCCTGCCGCACACTGACCACGTACAGAAAAAAAAATGAGCCTAACAAGGAACATAGAACAATCACTAGTCCTGTGAACACAAAACAAAACAAGGCAAACAAACAAAAAATGGTTCAAGGGAGACAAACTAAGTGGAGATATCAGTCAAATGCTCAAATGAAAAAGAATTCATACAGCAAACAGGACTTTAAAAAATTAATTATAACCCAAAGTATAAAATAAATATCCATGAATCCATATCGATCTATACACGTGATTGATAAATAAATGTGGAGGAAGAGACATATCTCCTTACAGAAGATTTTCAAATAATTTAAGTAGATACTCTCCCTTGCAGGAGGTGGAGATTAATTTCCACCCCCACCCCTCGAGTATTTAGTAATTTGCTTCCACAGACAAGAGTATGGAAAGGGGAAGAACAGGGTCACTGAGGATTTGAACTGTACCAGTGTGGCAGCATCTACTAATTGTCTCCCATCCCAAGTTGCCCCTTCTTTTTAGGTAACAGCCTCTCCGAGTTTCAGCAGGGTGCATGGCCACCCAGCTACACCAATGAAATAGAAGCATAAATGACTTGTGCAACTTCTGCAAAATTTCCTTAAAAGGAAACTGCTTGTCCTGTAGTAAAGCAATTTCCCAAACTTATTAACACAAAACCCCTTCTTTAATGGGCCATCTACCAAAATCCTGCAACCACATTTTAGGAAATGCTCATCTAATAATTTTTATTATTCTTAGGGAAATTCATAATTCTGTGTTGTCACATTCATTAAAGGGGAAATCATGAATACTTATATCCTAAACATACTTACATCTGCTTGTGGGAATTCCTTGTTATGTAAGTTTCAAAACTATAATTTTATCAGCATTCCAATTCCAACCCCCCACCAGTAAAATTCCAATACGAAACTTTAAGAGTCAGGATGAATAAAAACCAGTAAGAAAAGGATTCTTAAAGTTACCTTTTATATCATAATTCAATACTCAATGTTACCTTACTAAAGAGTGCCTTTTAAAGTAGGTAAAATATATTTAAGCAAATAGTGAGGCAAAGCATAAGCGTCCTGGAGACAGGCAGAACCATAGTGTACTGTAAAATAAAATGTCTTATTATTACATAAGTGAAATCAAGGTATATTACTGTCAGATAGAATGATACATTTCAATTAAACAATTCCATGCCTTAGTTAATGTTTTCATACTCATTATGTCATTGTATCAGCACTACAAAACACCTGAATGTAGGGAAGGTTGCTATTACTATCCCCACTTCACAAATGAGAAAACTGAAGTTTTAACCATTTGCTTAAGGGGGAGAACTTAAGAGCAGAAACCCAGGTCCACAAACTCCCCTGTATCATGTGTATAGATAAATATCAACAATTAATACTATAATAATTGGAATTAACTATTATTCATTTAAACAGGCAGCATTTTAATTTCATGTATCATATATAAAATACCTGAAGGTTATGCTCAAAGCAGGTCAAGGTATGATTAAATAGACTGAGGAAATATACTGTGCTGTTTGATAATTCTTGACTGTTTGTTAAACAATCTGTCAAAAAAAAAAAGGATATTAGTATATCTCAAGCAACAATTATATGTTGTCATTTATCTGTCAAGCAAACATCTTCTGTTTCATACTACAGTAACTCTTTATTCGAACAAGCATGAAGTGTTCCTCGTTGTAAGAATTTTCCAAATACATGAAGCTTTCCTCTTGTCTTAGTCTGCTAGGGCTGCCATACAAAAATACCACAAAGTGGATGTCTTTAAAGAACAGAAATGTATTGTCTCACAGTTCTGGAGGCTAGAAGTCCAAACCTGGGTATCAGCCATGTCGAGGGTTTTGAGCGAGGAACTGTTCCATGCCTCTCTCCTAGCTTCCGGTGGCTGTGGACAATCCTTGATGTTCCTTTGATGCTTACAGATGCATCTGCTTCCATCATCACATAGTGTCTGTCTTCTCCATGTGTGTGCAACCCTATCTCCATGTCTGTTCTCCTCTTTTATAAGACATCACTCAGAAGGGATTAGGACTAGAATCTACCCTACTCTAGTATGATTTAACTGATATCTTCAATGAAAGACCCTATTTCCCCAAACCACATTCACAAGGTATAGGGGTTAGGGCTTTAATATATCTTTTTGAAACCAAAACAATGAGCATGTGCTGCAAATTACTGTTTCTACAGGGTGTTGTATGATGTATGTGCATTTTTGGTAGGAAATGGAAATCTTGAAAATTTTTCTTTGGGACACTGTATGTCCCTCTGAACTCTAGAGGACATGTGCGGGTAGAATTAATTGGATAATGTATTGCCCTCGGGACTCAGAGGGTAGGACTGTTGCTGGCGGCAAAAAAAAAAAAAAAAAAATCCATACTACCTACCAAAAATTCAACAATATTCAATGACTCAGCATGCTTCCATTAATGAAAACACACAGTATCAACAAAAAATTCAAAGCAGAAAATAATTGGGCCTTGAAAAGGTTATTGAATTAACTTTTGACAGTTCAAGGTCATTATGAACATAAGCTATCAAATGCTGTCTTACTAGTGGTAGTCTCAGTGCTATTTGGGCCTAAGACTGTTTGTTGTTGTTAGGTGTCATCAAGCCAATTTTTTACTCATAGCAACCCTGTGTGACAGAGTAGAACTGCCCCATAGGGTTTTCTAGGCTGTAATCTTTATGGGAACAGATCACCAGGTTTTTCTCCTACAGAGCTGCTGGGTGGGTTCGAACTGCAGACCTTTCGGTTAGCAGATGAGTACATAACCATTATGCCACCAGAGCTCCTATAAGACTGTTTACCCTGCATTAATTTTACTTAAATTCATATGCTTTTTGTTCTTTTTTGAATCACACTTAGTAGTTCTGTCTCTTCCAACTTTTCTGATGAGTCATTTCTTGCACCTAACACAGTAACCTTTTTGAATTTCCTCCTTCTAACCTATCACGAGTTAGGAACCCAAGAAACAAGATGGTGAGAACTGTGCCTAAAATATTGATAAAGGACTTTAAGTCTGGAAATAAACAGAATTGTTTTGCATGTTTTTTAACATCTTACATACATAGTATTCCTCTGCAACCTGTTACTCTTGCTTAGTATTATGTTTTGAGATTTATTCTTGTTGATACTTGTAGCTCAAGTTCATTCCTTTTCATTGTTTCCTTTGTATGAAGAAGCCACAATTTATCCATTTTCTGTTCTTCAGTGAACCTATTCTTTACCCTCACTTTGTCCTTACCTCTTCCTGTGTTCTCAGCCTACTATCTAGGTTCAATTGCCTTGCTATATATATCCCGGAACTTGTGGTCAGCCATCTCAATCACATTTTCCTAGAATCCTTGGCTTCTTTACCCTTCCGCATACTCACAAACATTTCCAACCCTTGACAGCCTCCACATTTTCCCTACTCCCAATTCTGGTTATGATGTTGTTGCTGTGTGCCATCGAGTCGATTCCAACTCATAAGGACCCATTATGACAGAGCAGAACTGCCCCACCAGGTTTCCAGGGCTGTAATCTTTACCAGAGAGATCGCCAGGTCTTTTCTCCCATGGAGCAGCTGGTAAGTTTGAGCCAACCTTTCGGTTACCAGCTGAGTGCTTAACCACTGCACCACTAGGGCTCCTTATTCTGGTTACAGGATACTATTACAGGAAATTCTAAAATTATAATGAAGGGACTCCACTCAAATTCTTGCTTTCTGATTTCAAGGCCACTAAAGAATCCTTGTAGACACTCTATCAATTGCTCCAGAAGGGATGTTCCAATTATTTTCTATTCTCTAGTCCCCAACCTTGTCCTTCTTAATTTCACAATAGCTTTATATCCCACCTTATCAAAAATTCAGGATCATCTAATATAATTTCTCTCAACTAGTACTGGAGAGACAGGAGAGAAAGCTATTGTGATAATCCAGGTGAAAGTTGGTAATGCAAATAGAAAGAATTAGATGGCTAAGAGATAGACTGAACAGGTGACTCTGGAACATGACACACTAAGAGATATCCACTATGATAAACAACCACCACTACCACGAAGGCTAACATTTACTGAGTACCTGCTGTGTTCCAGGCACTGTGCTTATACTTTGAACACATTTACTCATTTAATCCTTGCAACAATCCGATGAGGCAGAATTGTCATTATCTCCATTCTACAAACAAGGAAACAGAAGTTTAAAGAAATTAAGCAGGTTGCCAAGTACACACAGCTGGTAAGTGAAAAGCTGGACTTCCTACTCAATCTGATTCCTGAGCCTGTTCTCTCAAACACTCCAAAATAAATAAAATATTCACATCTACATTCTAAACAACTGAAGTTCAAGACTCAGGGTCAACAAAAACATGCCACTAGTCCGCCCTCCACCACTCACTAAAGATAGATTAGCAATGCTTGCTCTCTGACACCACAGGGATTCAGGCTGTCACTACCAACTGATCAGAACTGGCAACCAAGATGAAACCTACACCAGGTGGAAAGGGCAACAACTAGCACATTAAGACTCCTTTGTGCGAATTAGAAAAAGATACCCCTCTGGGTGAACAAATTACAAAAAGGTACTCCTGTCTCCAGAAGCCGAGCTGGAATTCAGCCCCATTCGCCCTCCCCGGCAGGCCCCTGGTGCAGAGCTTAGTCTGCACTTGCTGTACACAGGGCCCTGCGGGGGAACCTATTCCTAGATTCTTTTCCCGCTCTGAACTCATGTACTACTGTACATTCTCTGCAGCTTTATCTTCTCAAGGAGGTGAGTTCTGCTCTTATCATCTAAAAATCTGAGGGATCACTTTAAAAAATTAGGAAATAAGCCAGAGGAATAAAGCAACACACCAAGGATCATACACTTAATAAGGCACTGGAATACAAAATATACTTTCCAGACTCCCAATTAAGTGCTCTCTTAATTACACGATTTTCTTTACTATTTACAAATGTTACTCAATCCATCAACTTTCAGAAGGTTAAAATGTTGATTCTTTTTTTTTACATATATACCATAAAAACTCAAACCAAACCCGTTGCGGTCGAGTCAATTTCAACTCATAGAGACCCTACAGGACAGAGTAAAACCGCCCCATAGGGTTTCCAAGGAGCGGCTGGTGGATTCAAACTGCCAACCTTTTGGTTAGCAGCTGTAGCTCTTAACCACTGCACCAGCAATGCTCCATATATAACATAAGCTCCTCTTAATGCTGGTTTAACATCATATGAATTAGCCTTGAATCTTTCTATGGATGAGGCAAAACCAAAAACCAAACCAAGCCTGTTGCCGCCGAGTTGATTCTGACTCATAGCGACCCTATAGAACAGAGTAGAACTGCCCCATACAGTTTCCAAGGAGCAGCTGGTAGATCAAACTGCTGACCTTTTGGTTAGCAGCCGAACTCAACCACTGTACCACCAGGGCTCCGAATGAGGCAAAGTAGATATAAATTAAAATGAACACATTTACAAATGTGCTGAATATTAGTATATTAGGCTAACAAAATCCAACCGATTTGCAGTATTTGTATTGGATGTTTTTCAGGGCAGTAAAAAGAGCACAATTTCATCCATGGCAATTGTACATCTGTGATACAAGAAGCGATGTTATGACAACTGACACATACAATATAGGGATGAATTGTGTGCATGTTCCTGTACTGCCTACAAACATAGTATAAAGCACACTACTATGAAAAAAGTTTCTTTTATACATATGAAGTAATTAAACTAAATAATTTCTTTATAAATAATTTATAAAGAAAGCTTCTCTGAAGGGCAAAAGAACTAGGATGTCTTCTATTTTACCAACAGTCAATCCTTTTCACTTAAAATTATTTAAAAATTGAGCTGAAAGTTAACATGGACTGGCCATCTTGCTGAGTATCGCGTTAATGCAGTACCATCAACATTTTCTCAATGATCACTAGACAGTGGTGTTATAAAGCACAAAGGAGTTCGTTTATATAATGGGGTTAAAAATAAAGAGCTCTGACTTTCAGATTCAAAACAAAGGAATTACAGTAAAATTCCTCTTTTATTTATTTGCACGAATTAGGAACGTAAGATTATAAATACTGAGACGCTATACATTATTAGAAATTAAAAAGCTAAGGAATATTAGTGAGAACAAAGCTTCTTCTTAGCACTCAGTGAAGTGGTTATTATGAACTTTCCTCATCTCAGACAATCAATGGAGCTTCATCAAGGACAGACTGGTATAGTTCTTTCTCAGTGACGGCTCAGGCACCAGTTCAAGAGGCATTTTTAAAGGTGTTAAAAAGTCAAGTTAAGACCTTACATAGAAAACTACTTAACTATCATAACAGAAATTATATATCCCTAAATAAAGTATTTGGCATCTATTAGAAGTTTGTATAAAGATCTCTGCTGTTTTTTTCAAAAACCAGTTTTACAGAAAACAACGGAGACAATCACCAATTTCTGAAAAACAGTGAAAACCTCAGAAAATATAGTATAAACTGTAGGGACTTTGTACTTGAACAACATAATTAAGTTTAATTAATATGAAAACTAAAGACATTTTAAATTATAAACTATAAATAAGTGAGTCTAATGCTTACAGCATTTCCATTAAGATAAAATAAAACAGAGGTAAAATTAAGAGTCAATATTCAATACGCCGTGGTATACTGCAAAGGAAAGAAACTTGGCAACCACTGCCGTCGAAACCCCATAGGGTTTTCAAGGCTGTAAACCTCTACGGAAGCAGACTGCTACATCTTTCTCCCACAGAGCCGCTGGTGGTTTCGAATCGCTGACCTTTCGGTTAGCAGTCAATCACTTTAACCACTGCGCCACCAGGGCTCCTCATAAAAAGTAAAAGGTTGTACTAAAACACAAATAAAATGTCAGCCAAGCCTCTGATCAAATTACCAGAAAATTTGGATTAATGAGGTAAAATTAAAAGATTCAATACTCAATATACCATGGTATACTGCAAAGGAAAAGAAACTTGGTAGGGGGTCTTTTTCTCATTTAGTTTTTCTTCATATGAATTAAGTAAAAACACAAGTCCTTAGAAAATGTAAATTGCTTAATGACTTACAAGTACAAAGTTTGTTTTTTTTTTTTAATTTACCCTGTCCTTTCTATTTCCACTGCCCCTCCCCTACTTCCTGTTTTCTTTGCTTCTTGCCAAACTTTAAAATAACCTCCCTACTTGTCTCTTCTTTCTCTTCCAGTGGAGTTCCATGAAAAAAGGGTCTCTGTAGTCTTTAAAAAGAAAAAAAGCCTAGAAAGTGCTAGGTTAAATAGCATTTAAAAGTTTTTCTTTTTTTTTAACCTGCGAGACTTCTCAATGCCTTTAATATTCCATACACACTGTAAACCTCCAATATATTACAGTATGCAACCCTTTCTTAACAATATGCTGGTGTTTTAGGCATTATGAAAAATGTTGGCCTAAATGATAAATTCCTATCAGTCAAGGTCCTACCATTCCTTTCCAATTTTATCTCCTGCTGAGCTTCCAGGGCCTTGGGTCATCACTATCACATTTATACCTCTGTGCCTTTGCCGTGATGCCTCTCTGTCTGTAATGCCCTTCTTATCTCTACTTGTTAAGGACTGAATTCAAAATGTACCTCCCCCAGGATGTCATTTCAACCTCTTACCAGTTAGGAGTATTTTCTACTTCCCCAAAGGATTTCATAACTTTATTAAGGCATTTATCTATGTTTTATCTGTAAATGTACTTTTCTCCCTCACAAAATTATAAGGATTGAAAGACAAAAACTGCCTAGCATATAGTTGGTATTCAAAAACATTTCTGAATTGAAACAGTGATTTTAATTTTCCAAAGAATGTCTGAAAACAGATCTCATTTTATTATACACACACGCAAACCTGCAAAGCTAGTAGAACAGATGTTATCATCACCCCCATCTGACAGATTATTATAAACAGCATATTTATTAATATATTAAACTGTTTGCATTTCTTGACCACTAATTATGTCTCAGGCAATGAGCTAAGTGCTTCATAAAATTTATTTCGTTTAATTCTCAAAACAACAGTATACACAATACTGGGGAAGCCAGCACAACTTGTACAAAGAAATGTCAGGGAAGCTCCATAGACACATCCAAACTCCCTGAGGGACCGAATTGCTCAGCGGAGGGCTGTGGGGACCATAGTCTCAGGGAACATCTAGCTCAATTGGCATAACACCCTTTATAAGGAAAATGTTCTACATTCTACCTTGGTGAGTAGCGTCTGGGGTCTTAAAAGCTTGTGAGCAGACACCTAAGATACTCCACTGGTATCACCCCTTCGGGAGCCAGGGAGAATGAAGAAAACAAGACACAAGGGAAAGATTAGTCCAAAGGACTAATGGACCACAATTACCACGGCCTCCACCAGACTAAGTCCAGTAGAACTAGATGCTGCCCGGCTACCACCACTGACTGCTCTGACAGGGATCACAACAGAGGTTCCCAGACAGAGCTGGATGAAAATGTAGAACAAAATTCTAACTCACAAGAAAAGACCAGACTTACTGGCAGACCTGACAGAGACTGGAAAAACCCCGAGAGTATGGCCCCCGGACACCTTTTTATCTCAGTAATGAAGTCACTCCCGAGGCTAACCATTCAGCCAAAGATTAGACGGCCCCATAAAACAAAACGAGACTAATGGGGCACAACAGTCCAGGGACAAGGACTAGAAGGCAGGAAGGGACAGGAAAGCTGGTAATAAGGAACCCAAGGTTAAGAAGGGACAGTGTTGACATGTCATGGGGTTGTTAACCATTGTCATAAAACAATGTGTACTGTTTAATGAGAAAGTATTTGTTCCGTAAACCTTCATCTAAAGTACAATTTAAAAAAAGTAAAAAAAAAAAAAAAAAAAAAAACCACAACAGTGTAAGGTAGGTTCCATTATTACCTCCAATTTACAGATGAAGAAACTGAAGTTCCAACAAGTGAAGTTCCTTGCCCAAAGTTGACAGCTAGTAAGTTATGTCTAAGGAGTGGCAAAACCAAAAAAACCTAAGCCATTGTCGTCGAGCTGATTCAGTAAGTGGTAAACCCAGGTCTAATTCCAACAGCTACACTTCCTAGCCTTCCAGTATTTGCCCAAGCACTTACCATGAATAAACCACAATGCTAACCCCAATTTAAACTTAGTAATAAAAAGTATTATCTAGCTTCAAAGATTTTAAAATTCACCAAAATAAAAACTGACATCTATACTACTGAACCATACAGCAACATGAAAATGAAAGGATTACTTACTTGCACAGTTTGCTTCCTTCCACGTGGAATTAAAAAATTCAGATAGGATCACAACTATTTGCATTCTATCTGTCATTAAGAGACTTCTGGCACAACTATGACTTTCTGAAGTATTCTGTAACAAAAAGAAGACAGAAAAACACAATCTGAGTATTTTTAGACTTTCCAACAACAACTTGAGGCAAAAAGCCTTATAATAATATTATAATTTTTTTAACATTTTGTTTGGTATGATCAAACAATTATAAGGATGGTAATAAAATAAGAGCAGCTAACACTTATTGGTACTGGGTACCATGTTCACTTGCAAAGAAGATCTTTACTTCTTAAATAAGCTTGTACAGTACAATCTCAACTACTTAGGTGCAAATTGGGTGTGTGTTCATATGTCTTACTTTTTATGCATAGGAAAAAATTCTGGAAAACCATTCACCAAAATGTAGCAGTGGTTATCTCTAAATGATGGAAATATGGGTGATTTTTTTTTTTTTTGGCTCTCTTAAAGTACCTAAATTCTTGTAAAATGAACATATATTACTTATACATGTTCTTAAAAAAATCAGGTGGATAAATGATCATACATCATTTGGTCTCATCTTCTGGGCAATTTTTGGTTCAGTGTTTTATAATCCACAAGAAAATGTGTTATGTCTAGCTTATGCCCAAATAAGCTTTCCAAGATCATTTTAATAATGAAAGAAACTCATATTACCCAATAATAATATCCAAGTTCCTAGATTATTTAATCCTTATCTATTTTCTTTCCCTTGTGTCCCAAGCAAGGAATTAAGTCCTGCTGACCGACCCTTCATTCTTTCAAATTTATTTAACTCCTACCAGGCACTGTAAGAATCCTAGCATTTCAAGATACAAAGACTGTGAGGGAACGACATCAGCACCGGGGCTTCAAGAACCTCACTACAGATGCACAGCTATCACACTGTGATGAGTAATAAATAAGAGAGTGGTAACTCCAGAAAAGGACGTGATCACCTACATGGGGTGAGAAAACAGGGAAGAAGGGCTTAAGGGAAGAATTCTTGTTTTAAAATATCTCTGGCATTCATTTTAGAATGGCTTAGTTTTGTCATCTATAGAAGTTTTTGTTTTTTTAAATACTACCAGTCCTTATTTTTATTGTAACTTTTTACAAGAAAACCTCTTAGACATAAATAAAAGCAGAAAAAATACTAGGATGAAGCACATGCAGTTGTAAGCCAGCTTCAACAATTTTCAACTCATGGTCATTCTTGTTTGATTTCTACTCTCATTCACCCCTAGATTACTATAAAGCAAATTCCAATATCATATAATTTCATATGTAAATATTTCAGTAGATTTTTCTAAAACATAAGAAATTTTTTAAAAACATAACTAAATACCATTATCATACCTGAAAAAGTAAAACAAAACTCAATGATCTTTCATATCATCCAAAATCCAGTATTCAAACTTCCTCAAATACTACATAAATAATTTTCCAGTGTTTGGCTCTTAAGAAGAACCAATCACTACAATTAGTTACTATAACTCTTACAACTATTTTACCCTATAGGTTCCCTCTTCATCTATTTTCCCTCGTTGTTGCTGCTGTTGCTGTTACGTGCTGTCGAGCTGGTTCTGACTCAAACCAACCCTATGTACAACAGAATGAAACACCACCTGGTCCTGTGCCATCCTCACAATCATTGTTATGCTTGAGCCCATTGTTGTAGGCACAGTATCACAATCCATCTCATCCAGGGTCTTCCTTTTTCACTAAGCCTCTACTTTACCAAGCATGATGTCTGTCTTAGTCATCTAGTGCTGCTATAACAGAAAATACCACAAATGGATGGCTTTAACAAACAGAAATTTCTTTCCTCACAGTAAAGTAGGCTAGAAGTCCAAATTCAGAGTACCAGCTCTAAGGGAAGGCTTTCTCTGTCAGTTCTGGAGGCAAATCCTTGTTGTCAATTCTTCCCTTGGTCTAGGAGCTTCTCCACGCAGGAACCTCAGGTCCAAATGACGTGCTCTGCTCCTGGTGCTGCATTCTTGGTGGTATGAGGTCCTCATGTCTCTCTGCTCACTTCTCTATTTTATATCTCAAAAGAGACTGGCTTAAGACACTATCTAATCTTGTAGATCTCATCAATATAACTGCCGCTAATCCATCTCATTAACATCATAGTCATAGGATTTATAACACATAGGGAAATCACAACAGATGAGAAAATGGTAGACAATCATACAATAATGGGAATCATGACCTAACCAAGTTGACAGATGTTTTTGGGGGACACAATTCAATCCATGACAATGTCCTTCTCCAGGGACTGGTCCCTACTGATAACATGCCCAAAGTATGAGACGAAGTCTTGCTATCCTTGCTTTTAAGGAGCATTCGGCTGTACTTCCTCCAAGACAGATTTGTTCATTCTTCTGGCAGTCCGTAGAATATTCAATATTCTTCACCAACATCATAATTAAAAGACATCAATTCTTCTTCGGTCTTCCTTATTCATGGTCCAGCTTTCGCATGCACATGAGGCGACTGAAAATACCATGGCTTGGGTCAGGTGCACCTTAGTCCTCAAAATGACTTCTTTGCTTTTTCACACTTTAAAGAGGTGTTCTGCAGCAGATTTGCCCAGTGCAATATGTCGTTTGATTTCCTGACTGCTACTTCCATGGGCATTGACTGTGGATCCAAGTAAAATCCTTGACAACTTCAGTATTTTCTCCATTTATGTTTATCACGATGTTGCTTATTGGTCCAGTTGGGAAGATGTTTGTTTTATGTTGAGGTGTAAGCCCTACGGAAAGCTGTAGTCTTTGATCGTCATCAGTAAGCACTTCAAGTCCTCTTTGCTTTCAGCAAGCAAGGTTATATCACCTGCATATCACAGGTTGCTAATGAGTCTTCCTCCAATCCTGATGCTGCATTCTTCTTCATACTCCAGCTTCTTGGATTATTTGCTCAACACACAGAACTGAATAAGTATGGTGAAAGGATACAAACCTGACACACACCTTTCTTGACTTTAAACTACGCAGTATCCCCTTGTTCTGTTAGAACGACTGCCTCTTGGTCTAGGCACAGGTTCCACATGAGCACAATTAAGTGTTCTGGAATCCTCATTCTTTGTAATGTTATCCATAATTTGTTATGATCCACACAGTTGAATGCCTTTGCATAGTCAGTAAGATATAAACATCTTTCTGGTATTCTCTGCTTTCAGCCGAGATCCAT